CTAGGACATAGCTTGGGATCATTGGCAAGTGTGATAAAAGGAGACAAGTTAAATGTTACCTTCACCTGGTTGAGTCTCCAAATCTATCTTAATTTTTCACTGCTTGACTTTTGCATCTTTTTATTGAAACCATATGTGATTCTTTCAGCAACATGCAGTAATTTGTTTGGAAATACAGGGCTAGAGATGTGTCTCTTTACTGGCTTCTGAAACAACTGTGAAATAAGAGTTAAGAACTTTTATACAAATGAGTTCTAAACATATTGCAAATTCAGTTAAAAATAAATAAGTAAGTACTTAGCAAAGAATTCAATAAACAGTAAGAGTAGCTGAATTAAAATATTTCCACTAAAATTAATGAGCCAATCCTGGAATGCTTAGACTGACTCTTAAGTGTGCTCTTTTAAAGGCTTTGAATATGTTTGCCTGTCTGAATTTCTATGGAGCATTTTGAATGCATGACAGATTATAATCTTCAATTATTTTAATTTGGTTTTCTTAATGGGCAAAATAGCTAAGAGCTTAATAATAAAAGACACTTACTGCTTATCATTTACATTATTTTATGTGTTCATTAATAATTATAATGGGTTTTATAAAACAAAAAAATCAAGTCTAAGTATCCCCAGGTCATGTTAGTGCAAATGTTGCATATTATTCTGTGGAAGATTTGGTAAACTAAGTGGTTTTTGAAGGGCATTTTTGACTCCATATGTTGTAGAGCAAGACAAAGAACTTCAAAGGAAATTTATTTTCTGATTCATTCTGTGGAAGGAAAATGTAACAGAGGATAAATGTCCTGCTTTGCTTTCTCCAGATACATTTCCAGGCACAGTGCAGGCATGGGCAGAACCTGGACCACCTTGTGAAATTCTCTGAATGTGTTTCTATAATAACACAGGAGCACTGTTGTTATGGTCACATCTTCTCTCCTGTAGGCTCAGTTGTCCTTGTTCATTCAGCTTTTCCTTACACACCCCATTTCCTCACCCTCCAGGCATTTTCTTCACTACTCTCTAAACAGTCTCCATTGGAACACTTTTTTTTCTGTCAATGTCATGCTCCAGAAACTGTAAAACTTATGGTCTCACTGGTGCCCTCCAATCTGCTGACCACACAGCTTGCCTTACTCTGTACCAGCCCTGCTCCTGGCATGGGAGCACTGCAGGGATCTCTGCTGGCTCCTGTCCCTGCCACGGCAAGGGAGGAGAGCTTGTGAACTGAACCTTCTGCAGCAAAAATAGGGCAGTGCTGAGAGCACACGGGTATGGATCAACAGAAGAAAACCAGTGATAAAATCTGGTACCTTAGAGGAGCTCACCACTTGAAATTCTGTTCACCAGTAGTTTGTGGGAATAGTTTAGCTAGCCAGTAAATCCTGTCGGAGATGCATGATGTTATCTGTGAAAGCAGGATGCAGTCCTGTGCCACAAACACTGCTTTTCTAAATGTGACACTGCTGCAGAGGAGAAAGCCAGCTTGGAAGGGCTTGACCCTGTATTGTCTCAAGAGTTGCAATGTTCATTTGCAGACATTTTCCTTATTAGATCAGAACCTGCAGTAGAAAATACCCATCTTGTGGAATTGCACCATTTCTCCTGTTTGTGGGATTGCTTTGTAGAAACAAGGGCTGAGTCAGACTCCGGGTGTTCTGGTTCTGGGCTGCAAACGTTGCTGTGTTTTGGATGATGCCTCAGTGATGCTTTGAGCTCCAAGCACTCACTGCTGGGCTGCAAGGCCACCCTGTCCTTGCTGGCCACAGCCAGGCAGAGGGATGGCAATGCCAGCACCGTGCCTGGCCCTGCTGCAGGTTCCCTCTGGGGCTCTGGGGGCTGGTCCCAGCTTCCAGATGGTCCATTTGTATCTGTCAGAGTTGGTGAGGGCTCCTGCATGGAAAACGCTACCTGTGTTCACGAGGTAGGGTAGGAACAAGGGATTGCAACTTCCAACATAAATTGCCTTTGGATCTGGGACATTTTCCCTCACCAGTGTATCAATCCACTCCAAGCTCCATCCCGGAGGGGTTTTTTAGAGCATAAAAGCTGCTTTGCAAGCAAATTCTTTTTATGACAGTCATCAGCCATCATCATTCATCCTGCTCACATCATCATATGCAGAATTGTATCATGCCAGGCACTGGAGGAGCTCAAAGCTCCAAGGGTTCTCCGAGTAAAAAATGTATAAATGCAGCTAAGGAAAACCATCCCTCTGCCATCTGTTCTGTAACCCAGAGCCCTGCATACCTCTTGACTGCATTATAAAAGAAGAGATAAATGAAAGGAAAATTCATGTGTATGTTCTCCAGTCAGAAGATTATCATATGGATCTGTTACCATCTTCACACTTCCCAGCCTAAAGGAAAGGAAATTTTCCATTAAGGAAAAAGTAACTTCCTTCTGAACCAGTACATTTCCCCAGCCAGTAATTTTTACTTCTGATTTAGTGAGCTCCTTGGGAATAGAGAGGGGTTTATTATTATTATATTAATAATATTAGTAGTAGTATTATTTTTGTTGTTTGTAAATTGCTCCAGGAACAGTTTCAACAAAAGAAGTAAACCTTGCATTGTGTTCAGATAATGTTCTTAACTTCTCAACAAGATTTACTAAATTGCACCCTGGGAATTAGGCAAATGAAACCTTTGGTCAAAATGTTACAGGATTACTGAAAAAAATCTTCTTTTTTTCTTTTTAATCTCATTAAGAGTGCTAAAATTATATGTTCCAATATAAAAAGCATATGTGTGATAAATATCTCCCTGGTAGTAAAATGTACTATGCTTCATTGTCAGTGGTCTTTGCAACTTTCTGTGACAAGTGCTACTTCTTACTTTTTTTTTTTTCTGAACACTTCACACCCTTGTATATTTACTGGAAATGGATTTAAGTACAGGTAGCAGGCAAACCCTTGTGCTATGATTGCAATTAACAGCAAATAACGAGTCTTTGCTGAATATTTTCAGTATATTCCCCCCGTCTTTGTTTTGCTCAATGCAGTATAATTAGCTCATGGATTTCTCTCAGTATAATTGGGTGAGTCGTGTGGGTCTTATGATATATTTCATCTAGATCTGCAATGATTTACATACAGACAGCTTAGACCCTATTAATGCTAATAAAAGTGCTGCAAGGACATCTTATAGCGTGCACTTTATTAAACTCTACATAGCTTTCTTCGAGAGCTTCTGTTTATCTGCGTTTCCCAAAAATAAAATATAGTGCCTTTAGCAGTGAATATTTAAATCCAGGCTCCTTTTCCCTGTTTCTGTCTTTCTCTATGCATTTCTAATGCTTCTATCACAATGGGATCTGGGTACTATATGCAACAGGAAATAGAGCAGAAAAATGTCCACTAAGAAGCTCTTCCCTTCTGTGATGCAGGTTAAAGCTGCTTCCATTTTGGTTCCCTGCAGTGTCTGCTTAGCCCTGGTGTTTGTGCTCAAGCACAGCCATAGCTGAGCCAGGCTGGGGCTCCACAGAAGTGTAAAATACCTTTGTTGGGTAGCTGTGGGTTTTTTCCACCTTTGTTCAGGGAAAATTGACATTCCAGTTTGTTTGGAACTGTGCAGACACACACTGATGAAGACACACAGCTGTGTCCCACATTACCCTTTCTAATTTGTAGGGTGGGAACCCCACCCTGGCTCACCCTGGAGGTCGAGCAGTGTGTTGCTGTGTTCACTTACCTGAAGCCTGGCTGCAGGTGTGGATGTAGTGGGTTGGAGCTGGAGCTCCCTGATGTGAGCTGTGCATTTGCACAGGCATTGCCACCAGCTCGATTTCCATCCCTTCCCTCTGGCAGGGCAGAGCTGACCTCCTGAAAATGGGGTCTTCAGCTATCAAACTGGTGAGTTGGCTGCTGTCACTGAAACCACAGTTGTGCAAGCAATGCTTGATTTTAGCACACCCTTCCTCACCCCCGGATTTGCTAATGAAAGCTGGATTCGTGGCTGTCTCCTTGGGTCTCTCCAGCCCCACATAAACCTGGACAATTCCTCCTGTGCAGCACGAGGGCACTTTCAGTGTCCCCAGGCCCTCTTTTAAGTGACTATACCAGTGTAAGTCCAATCAGTTTTCCTCAACACTAACAGTGTAACAAGCAGTGAATCCTTTGGAGAGAAGACAAATGGAGCTGTGTCTATTCCCTGACCTGCAGCTCCTGCAGCCTTGGTAGCACACAGATCAATCCTGGCCGTGTCTGTAATAACTGACATGATTAGCCATTAGCAGGAGCAGACAGTTTGGTGGGGGAAGTACAAAGAAGACTGTGTACAAACTTGGTAATGATCTGGACAAAGGTATCAAAGGACGTTCTGGGAGCCAGGGATCTGATATTGCCCTGCTCTGACACGTTCAGCATTGTCAGCCTCCTGTGTCAGGAGAGGAAGGAACAGCAGCAGGTCACGTATGGGAGGAGTGTGGAGCAGCCCACAGCCCCCTCTCAATTCCCTTGCCTGACAAGCCAGGCTTCCTCTTCCCTTGGGAGATGACCTTCTCTCCCCCAGTCGAGGCTGTTTTGGGGACACAGGATCCCACTAAGGTCACTCAGACCCGTCCAAGGGTGCAGCTGCCATAGCAGAGATGCCAACGTGCACTCAGCTACGAGGGCTCTTTTATCTTCCCACTACTTCCTTGTATTCACAGACCTGTTAGGGAAAAAATTTATGCACATCGCTTTTTACAGTGCCAAGACACTTTGTGATGGAGGGGGGTGGTAATTTATTTGTACCTTGCACTTTCTGTAGGGAATAGTCATGCTGTTGCAAGAACTTCTTTCAGCATTTGATCAGAAAATTAAATTTGTGTTTAAAGAGATAGTCAGGGTTGCTAGGACAACATATTAACCTCCCTTCTTTTTTTCCTCAGCTCTGTATCCAAGGTTCATGGAACTCACTGTGCTGTACTCTGCTTGCAGTGTTTTCTCAAGGTGCAGAAGGGAAGGGCTTTCAGAAACAGTGTCCAAAACATGCTTTTCCTCAAATAATCACATGAAATGGTAGCATCCCACTGGGAATTCCCATCCTGGCCTTGTCAAGCCAGCAGGGGTGGACAAAGAGGAGCAAACAGCCCCATTCTTTGAATTTCATGGGAGTATTTGTGTGCACAGTCACCAGGGCTGAGAATACGATGGGGGAGCTTGCAGACAGCGTTTTCAGAAATGATTAATGGCCAGGAGACTCTGGGTATGGCTGAAAAATATGGACACTTTAAGGAGCCCAGGGTTTCAGTAATATATGTAAACAGCAGGGTTTGTGCATTTTAGGGTCTTCCACATCTCAGTTGAAAAGTCACAATTTCAATGATTTCTCGTGAATTAAAGAGGAGCAAAATAGCTGAAACTATGTGGAATGTACTTTTCATGGCTTTTTGCCAAATCTTTAGCGTTCAGCTCCCTTGTCAGGACTGACAGTGGTGTTGCATCCCTGCAGCCTTCGGGCTCAGATCTTCTAAGCTGCTCAAACATCCGTATGGCTTTTGTCCAGAGCTGATGGCTTCTTGTCTCTGTTATTTCCTGCAGATCCGTTCTGATAAGGACAAGGAGATCCATATCAGGTACAGCATCACTGGAGTGGGAGCTGACCAGCCACCCATGGAGGTGTTCAACATTGACCCCGTGTCGGGCAGGATGTACGTGACCCGCCCCATGGACAGGGAGGAAAGAGCTTCCTACCATGTGAGTATGCAGCACCCTGAGCTGCAGCTGGGCTCACAGCTCAGAGCACAACTGCTGGGTTCAAGGAGGGACACGCTGACTCGGCCAAACCAATGCAGAGTGCTGCTTGGTGGCTGCTGAGCATCAGCCAGCAGTGCCCAGGTGGCCAGAAAGGCCAATGGCACCTGGCCTGTATCAGCAGTGGTGTGGCCAGCAGGGCCAGGGCAGTGATTGTCCCCCTGTGCTGGGCTCTGGTGAGGCCACTCCTCAAATCTGGGGTCAGTTTTGGGCCCCTCACCACAAGGACATTGAGCATGTCCAGGGAAGGGTGGCAAAGCTGGGGAAGGGGAGAGAGGGTGAGTTTAAGAGGAGCAGCTGAAGGAGTTGGGGGGCTCAGCCTGGAGAAAAGGAGGCTCAGGGGAGACCTCATCACTCTGTGACTACCTGGAAGGAGGATTGGTCTCTTCTCCCAGGTAACAAGTGACAGAACAAGAGGAAATGGCCTCAAGTTGTGCCACGAGAGGTTTAGGTTGGATATCAGGAAAAATTTCCTCACCAAAAGGGTTGTCCAGCCCTGGCACAGGCTGCCCAGTACAGGAGTGAAGTCACCATCCCTGCAGAGATTTAAAAGCCATGTAAATGTGGCACTTGGGGACACAGCTGAGTGATGGGCTTGGCAGTGCTGGGGGAACAGTTGGACTTGATCTGAGAGGGCTTTTCCAACCTAAACAATTCTGTGATTTTATGAAAGTGGAGATAAACTGATGTCTTTTTCAGACAGAGTCATTTGTTTAAAATGGTGCAACTTCACACTGCTTGTTAAATCCATGCAAATTTATGTGTAGACTGAACCACCCAAAACCATGAGAAGCCAGTCACTACATTAGCATGTCTTGGGAAATTGCTAATTTAAGAATCATTACTGCATCTAAACATGCAATAATTGCTATAGTCATTTTTCATTTTAATTCACCAGGAGATGTTCAGGCAGTATGATGGGGGTGTGTCAGATAGGTTTTTAAATACACAGATAGGCTAATATTAAATATCAGGGAATTAATTAAGATTAATTACACTCAAAAGTGATGGTGCCTCATGCTATCCTAGTTCATAAAATGCTCTACCTGCAGAATGCTCACAGTGTAATTGGCTGCTATGTTTTGATATAAATCCCAGCTCCTCTGTTGCACGGTGTAATTGCACAGCAGATCCAGTCCCACAAATTACTAAAAGAATAGGTTGCCCCTTGCATGATAGCCCTGCAAAATTTCAAACATTTTCTGCATCTGTGCTCCGGTTGTCTCCTGGAGTGGTTGTGAAAGGTTGTTTCATGGATTGCTATCAGCCTTAGCCCATCTCCTGGCATGGTAATGGCCCTTCCCAGGGATGCTGTAATGTCAGCGTGGTGCACGGGTCACTTCCACTGACACCACATCCCCAGCTGCACTGCCAGAGATGCACATTCTGTCAGCTTTATCAGGTATCCAGTTAACCATGTTGACACAGCTTCTGGGCTGGGGTGGAAGGATAAAGAAAATAGATTACCTCTTTAGTTGGGTGGAAAAAGAGATTTCCCCTGGGTAAAAGGAGATCTGAAGAAAAAAATATTTTATCCTCTGTGAACAATTATTTTGTTTGTTGTGCCTAGGAAAATATGAAGAGAGGTTGTTTTGGAGAAGAAATATTTGAGATAAAGTGTGTGTCATCTCAGCGTTGTTGATATTGTTTCAGCAGTGCCAGGTTATTATAACAGTCTAGTCAATAATAAAAAAGTTTAGATTTTTGATGGAGCCGCTGTGATGTCTGCGATCAGAAACTCGCAGTCAGAAACATGAGATGAAACAGATTTTGCCCTCCATCATAGCAAACCCTGTGCCCCTTAAAAGCAAACTGAACCTACCAGTCACAGTGAATTCAGCAAATTGAATTCATGCCTTGTCAAAGGTGATGGGATGACTCTGCCTTGTACATACTGCAAGATTTTCAGCCTTTTCTGTTCCTCACAGAAACCTTGAACTAGTGGCATCCATATGTAAATAAGCACATTCATAGTCTGAAGGTTACAGGGNAGAATAACTGATAAATATGTTAGGAGACCTTATAGACAGGAATACTGAATGATAGAAAAACCTTTGTTAGGAGAACAGTAGAAGGTGATGGAGAACATTTTAAGTTGTGTCTGTAAAATGACCTTTAGATCCTTCAGCCTCAGTAGCAGTGGATTGATGATTTCTTGAACCAGCAGTGGTTCATTTACTAACCCTTTACAAAGCCTTTATAAATACACATGCACAAAGCAGTGACCCAAACACTGGAGTAGAAACTTAGAGGAAGAATGAGCAGTGCTGGAAACCAGAAAAAATTCGGCCAGTTTCCAGGAAGAAGATAAATTCCAGAGTCTTAGCTAGTGGAGGGTCTGAAGAAGTCAATGAATTTATGGCACTTCACAGAGCCCAGTCTCCAGCTGATAGGAAAGGCAACGTGGAGCCAGGTTTGAACTGAGTGCTAGAAGAGCAGTGGCTGAGGTGTAGGCTTGGATGTGAACTGGAGAGCTTGGCCACCTCTAAACTTGTTTGATATCTGCTGTAGTTTCCTTTAGCATGAATTAGTAGCTTTATTTTTCAGCAGGGTGGAGAATGTCAGTGGAGCTGCAAGGCACCACTCCAGATCCCTCTGGCCCAGCAGGACATGGGCTCTGTGTCTGATGCAGCCCCAAACAGAACCAAGTCTTTTCAGCATCTCTGTCACTCTTGAGTGTTGTCCTTGCTGCTTTTGTTCCCAGGTAATCTAAAAACTAATTATAAAAGAAAGAACAATAATTTGCAAGTGTTTGTGAGGCTACATATCAAGAGTTCTGTTTCATTAACTCCCACATTTTCAACACATATTTTCTTATGCATAATTATCTGTATTGCTTCAGGACTACCATTTTTAAAATACTAGTGTTCTAACACTCCCTGCATTCAGCAAGCCGTTTGTCTGATGAAACCTCCCTCGTTCCCTAAGGTGAAACAGATTTTTTTCTAATTAGATCAGGAGTTCTGCAGCAGAAGTTCCCCTGTTTTTGTGATCATTCTTGAACTTTCAGGGAGGATCATTCCAAGCTTCAGTTATGCAGAGCTGTATGTGCCTCTGGGACTCACAGCCCCTGCCCAGGTGGTGTGTGTGCTGGCACTCCCAGAGATTGCAAGTTCAGCTGTATTTTGGCATCATCTGTTTTTGTCTGCACTCCAAACCAGAGCACAAACTCTCCATGGACCTCACAGACATCCCAGACGCAGAGGCAGCTGAAAACATGAACAAAGGGAAACTGGCTCTGCAGGCACTGAACCAACCCCTGTGGAACTGCACAGGTGGCACTGAGTGATGTCCTGGGAGCCACCCCGGTGTCATTTTTCCCGTGAGACACACAGGAGTGGGACACACAG